ATGAGCGGTTAAGGTGTTGCGTTGAATGGTAGCCCTGTAATAATGTGATGGCTTGTGTTAACTGTTGGATACCAAAATACCATTTTTACAAAGGTGTTGAGAGTTAAGCAGGGTTATTCGCTTTTACAAGAAAACTACAATGTTTTGCTGATTAGGGGAAGAGTTTTCTTATTTGTGTGTAGAGTTTTGCAAAAATAGCCAATAGTTACAAAAATGTGCTCAAGCCATCAGAAAAAACTGTAAATTAGTTAAAGTCAGCAGTCACAGTATTTTAATGCACAGCATCTGCAGACCTTCTGGTGACTTGTCAGGTTTTTAACCTCTCCTGATGCCTCAGAGAGTTGTTGACCCACCCATTCACCCATTTGGGTTTGTTCGGTCAAGGTGTGAAATGCTCTGAGTCGTCTGGGATGCCCTGCAGGTATCTGATAAGAGGGGCAGGGTCCAGCTTCCTGGAACAATAGCAGTTCTGATCGTCTCCTTATTTACAATAAATCTGTAGCTAAATTCTGCTGCTGTCCAGCATCAACAATATTTCTGTGCAGTAATGTTAACACTACGATTAATCTGCTCACGATTACCGTTGGAAATTCTTTATATCTTAACAGATTCAACCATATATGTAACATTTGCAAACAATAAACAAACATATGCCACGATTGCCCAAAAAACAGGATACATGAGACTGTTTAGTTTTAACAACACAAAGAGTACGACCTGTTGAAATCATCTCAATCAAACCTTCCAGTAACGTCAGGATAGCAGAGGTGTGTCTCGGAGCAACTTTATTCACAAAATAAAACATCTGTAATAATACCAGCTACCTCTTTACAATACAGCTGGAATCACGGCTTCCACCAAGTGACAGCGCCACCCACAGGAGTCAGATCGACTGCCCGGGTTCAAGGAATTCACCAAATTTCCTCCACTGAGATGTGGAAAAGACCATTAACAAAGACCTGAACATTTCCGTATTTTAGTTTAGTCTTTACATATTTGTGTACATATGTTCATATACTTGTATGTTACATACATGTTCCATTAGAGAAGGAAGGACCCAAATCACGAAAATCAAAAATATGCACATCAAGCTCCAGAATTTTGTTCTATTTGGATCCAACAATCTACTGATAGTTTTGTTTTTGGTGTAAGTATTGTAAAACTCAACTATATACTATTCAGGAATTTTACTATTTGTCTTTTGCATTGTGAAGATTTTTATCTTCAGTCAGTTTTGCAGGAATAAATCTGAGCAGAAACTGTAGACCTGCACACTTCACGCTATCCTCTGTACCACCAGTAAACACTGTCCTTATGAGTTTATGAGCTCAAATAACAGCTTCAGTTCTTATTAAATATATAAAGAAGTTGACTTTGTAAATTAGCCTCCTCATTAGAATCAGAAAGCAGGATCCAATGGTTGTCATGTGTGGTTTCAAAACACCAAAATGAAGATGGCTTTATTTTGGGACGTCACAGATCACTATGTGGCATCCTTTTAGCTTTCTGCATGTATAATATACAGCCTATGCTCAAATATTGACCTTTGTCCTCAGAGGCCAGAAAAGGCCTCCTTCAC